TTATTGAGTACGAATATACGCTTAATCTCGCATCGATGGCTTTTTTAAACGTCCCAGATGTGAGCTTTCTTTTCAAGGATCTTCTCAACATAAAATATCAAAGATTAAGTTTTATTTCACTATAAAAGGCTTCGTTTTCGTAGAAGCCGACGAAATTCAAAAAAAATGCTCGATCCGTTTCAAATTCTTCACTTCATTTTTATATCCCGAAATACTACTAGTTGCCGATTTTTCCTTCAGCAGTTTTGAAAATTGCAAATTTCCCTCATATAAAACCTGATCGCCCAAAATGGCTTGCACCAAACCGCTTTCAATAGGGTTGGGTAAACTCTTCCATATCAAAATATTTTCAACATTGCACCGTATAGGCTGTATTCACAATTACATGGACAAACGTGGGCAGACAAACTAGGTCATATAAGAAACTGATTCTAAGCCGGTGGGCACATTGAAATATCAATCCATGAGGTGTTTGCAAAAATTTTGATCAGAGACTTCCATAGGTAGAAATGATAAAGAAATGGGAAATACCACTGTACATAACGGTTGAATTCGATGGTTTTAAGCTTTCCTCATACAAAATAATGGTTTTCCATTTAATATTAATAATTTATTCAGCGTACGCCGGCACTAATCATGGAGCGCTCAAAATTCTTTTTCTTCCAAATTAATTACTTGTGTAGTTTATTTGAAGAAATTTGTTGCCGCAGGCCGCCAAAACATGCTCAAAGCTTATGGTGATGCTGTTTCATCATATCCCAATTGTCACACTTGTCACTTGGTTTCAACGATTCAAAAGTGGCGACACGAATTGACTGAAAGCGACATATTTTGGTCCCTTGTTGCCAGAGTTGTCCAGGCTACACTTTTGCCGTTCGAATGGGAAGTTCTGCTACACCCAGCGACATGGAGCCCCCTGATTACCACTTGTTCAGATCGGTGCAGCATGGCTTGGCTGGCACTCTAGTCCCCAAAGTTGAAGAAGTTTGAAAACGGCTCGGTGGGTGGATCGCTATCAATCCAATACAAGTTCTTTCAACATGATATCGCCATGTTGCCAAACATATTGGAAAATATGTTATAGAAAATCATGGAAGAAACTGTTTTGTTTCGTATACGTTGTGCCAATTTCCCACAATAAATGCCTTTGTGAAGTGAAAAAGTGATCAAAATTTTTGCAAAAAATTAATATCTTAATCTTAAATATGCTCTGCAGCGCAAGTGAAGTACGATATCAAAAACCTTTTCATTGCTATGAAACAAAATATCTTGCAATTATCTTACATTTCGCTATCGGGATTATTCTCTTGGTTGCGGCATTTCTCCAATTTCTTTTCAATTGCTTTCACTTTATCGCGTGCTGGTATTTCATACTGTTTAACCATTAATCGTATTTCTGAAAATTTGTGAGGATTCAAAAAATGTATTTCCCCGATTAAATTATTTACAACTTACTGCGTATGGCTTCTACCAAGAGAGGTAATTTTTCTCTCGCCCCATTGAAAAGTATATCGGTAACGTAACTATCCAGATTTTCTTGTTCACGACTAGCTGCATGTAATACTGCGGCCAGAGCAATTTGCGACGGAGCATAAAGTAGGCAGGCGTCGGTAAAAAAACTTTTTTCTATAAAATCATCAATATGTTGCCGTAGACGCTCCGCATTTGTTAAAGAACTTCGTGTCTGAATAAAAATATGCTTTAATTAATTACAATATTCTCTTTAGATTCACTAACATCGAATGGGAAAATAGAGGTCATAATAAAAAACTAGCGGGAAGAATCGCGGACCACCTAGTCGTTGCGTTCAATGTTCTTCCATTGCTTGGAGGCATCTTTATGTTTGATCGCCGGAAACAACTAAATGACACGATGTTCGAATATGAAAATTTATTGAACCAGTTGAGGAACATCAAATTTAGAATTCTTTACATACATAATTACATGTAAACCATAGCACAAATCCAGAATTGCATATGAATCTGTTTTACACACATTTCACGGAACGTAAATTCACTTCAAGAAATTATTACCAGAATTTTCGCCAGCCATTGATAACAGAAACACAAAAAGTCCTTGAAAATCTCCTAGTTTGCATTTTTTAAAATATGGAACATCTTGTCAATTAGTTGTCTAGGGTATCACGTATTAGTAAATAATAATAATTAATTTGAAATCACAATCAAAAATATTCTGTATCTTATATGCTCTGGATCTTAGTAATCCAGGTATCAGTGGATGTCGAAATAGAACGTAAATTTTTGATTCGTTTACATACCTTAATGTCTATTAGAAACCCCTCTATTGGGCGGTAAGGATTATGTACAGTTAAATAATAGTTAAGATGTTGCATTAACAACAGTTCATTAGATAATATTATATCCATAGCCTTATTGCGATCTCCTTTGATATTATTAACGAACTGACCTATCGAGACATTAAATTCCTCCACTTTACACGCTAAATAAACACATGTAGCTCTAAATTAATAAAAAAAATTTATGAAAATTAGAATTTTCAACAGTGTCCATTATCAACTTACAATATCTCCTTCGGATGAAAGTCCATCGGTGAATTGTGTAAATAGAAACGTTTGAAGTACTGAAACGAAGTTCCTACAACGCACTTCGGCATTATGGGTTCAAAACGTCGACAAAAATCATTTAAATAAATTTCATACTGTTTTAGTAGTAAACGTTCCTCAGAAGAGTCAAGAAAATAATCCAGTCTGTTATCCTGAAAAATTACAGGAAAAGTAATTTCAGGTATAATCCAACAACAAGCATATCTTTTTTTTTATGGAGTAAGTATGGATTAAGACCAAAGAAATGTGGCTTCTACGGCCAGGTTAACGAAACAAACACACAAGCGTAAATAATTCCAAACATGTGCATCAAGAAAGTCAGGAGATAAACAACAAAAAGTGTAAACAAAAATACCAATGCAAACAAAAAATTCAACCAATCAAGACTAACCTCTACCTCTCCGTGCGTCTCCTGAAATTTCTCATTCTGCTTCTTTCTCAATTCATTTAGATGTTGCTCGTTATTGAATATCCAATATTTTTTTTGTGAACTTAGGGAAAACATGATATCAATAATTTTTTATGAAGAAGAACTTATTATTTGTTAAACAATTTACACAGTTTAATTGTTTGGAATAACAATGTTATCAACAAAGCAAAATTATCAAGAATATTTTCATTTCAGCTCCTCAGTCGGCCTCCTTTCACCAGACATTGCCAGCTTCGTCGACATTACCAGCCATTCAATGCAATTGCAACACTGTCTTTGTTTTTCTGAAATTCGATATCGAACTGTTTTATTATGATAAGCAAAAGTAAATGCTTTTCTCTTATAATTATGCTTTATTTTATTCAAATTATATTAAATCTATGGACTTATGTATAAAATGAATTTTATTAAATTCTTAAAATTTTCCATAGTTTTTGATGTAATTTGTCTGTGTCTCATTTAAAATATTTTCCATAAAAATTAGTAACAATTTTCGTATGGCGCAGCTACTCCGAAAAATAGAAACGAACAATGATACATCGTATTGCTGTTGGCCGCCATTACACGCAGTGAAAAACGTGTCCCTGTGAAAAACTTGTGTCGTTGCACAATTAAAATTAAAAAAATACGCGTAAAAAACAAGCAAAATTATTGAAAATTAGTGAAATATGTTAATCGAAAATTGAGTTTTTCAATTTTTCATATGAAATCATGAAAAATGCAATGATAAAGTATAAAAATATGTTTTAAAAAAGTATGAGATTTTTGTAAATGAGATGAATCGATTTTTTTTGGTGTGAAAAAATTAGATCGTTTCTGGCTTTTTAGACGAACGAAATAGAATAAGTTCGCGTTCGGTTAAAAATAGGATGTCTCGTTCTAACCAGTATGAGTAAAAAGGTTGATTATATATTTAAAGTGGGAGAGCGATTGCATGTGTGTATGTGTGGTTGTTCGATGAGTTGCTTTTTCTTGAAAGTGTGTAAGAGATACGGGCAGCAAGAAGAAGAATTGTAGTAGTAGTAGTAGCAGTTCGCGCGCGCAATTTCTTAGTAGCTTAATGTAATTGTGTGAGAATGGTATCCACACACACACGCACATATTTTCTTAAATAGAATGCGTTAGAAAGAGTAAAATAGTTGAAGCTAGTGATTTGAATATAGTTATCGCATCTGTTTGCAGTGATTCGGAGTAATTTTTTGAGAAAAGAGATAATATTAATACATTTTTAAATATATGTGAAAGATAACATTAGCTGACTCTTTCCGCGAATACGAAGTGCTCAATTCGTTTTTGGCCGCCATTATGGCTTATAATAACCACGCTATCTGCGAAAAAAGCAAATATTTAACACATTTTTCTGTGTAATTTTTTGTACATTGTAATATATGTGCATGTAAAAATGTTGAGAAAAATCAGTTTGTTTTATCAAACAAAAACCTGAGTATATCCAATGTTAAAAAGACTAAATACTACAAAAATGCAGAAATTTCACATAATACATTGAGAATTTTTATGTGTAAAAAGAGACGAAATGCGAAGAAAAGAGGAAGAAAATAGTCTCTGAATTCGCCACTCGGAAGGCTTGTGCGATTCGCCGCATTGTTAGTGTTTGTTTATACTGGCATTTACAATACAAAGAAATGACTGAAATGAAAACGAGTGCTTTTCTTATTCTAATTTATTCATTTAAATGAAATTTTCTGCGAGACTATAAGGGAATTTTGTGCATGCATGTGTGCCTGATTTTTCCTTTTGTTTCTTCTGTGTTTGCAAAAACGAAGTGTGTTTAGTCTACCTTTGCATAGGCATATGAGTTTTGTCTGAATGCATTTCTTCGTTGTGTGTATGTGTTGCTCGTTTCTATTTTGTTATTTTCTTTCAATTGTTTTGATAGCGCATAGCGTGACATCTGATAAGTGCGAAAAAATACGAATTCGCCAGGAATCTACATGAAAATTCTTTCACCTATTGATGTTTTAAATTAAAACATAATTAATGATAAAGATTAAGAGCAACAAAATGTGCTTAAATTACAAATAAACAAAATTGCTTTTACATACTAAAAACAAGACAATCATCACTTTTTTAAATTAGAATTTACAACCGTATTCTTAAATAGAAAGAGAACAAGCACTTTGTAAACAACAAAAATAAGCGGGCATTGCCAGCCTTTGAATAAAATTTTGCTAAAGGATACAAAAACGCATTTAAATTTGGAAAGCAAATCGGATCTTAAAAATACAGCCGCAAATGGAAAAACAATAATTGTATGAGTGTTTTCATGGATAACCCATAAATATAGATGATGATGAAGGGAATGTGTTTGTTGTTATTATCGTCATTGCCGCTGTTATCATCATTTGTATGTGTAGTTCCGCTGCTGATATGAGATGCTTAAACAAGATTCTTGTAATTATGAAAATTTATTTGGATTTTTCGATTTCAATTTGAAAAATGTCGTCGCCTCATAGCCCACAGAATTCGTTATTGTTGCTTCCACTGCAAACCAGTTGTAATCGCAATACATTTCAGGTTAAGAAGGTTGTGTTGTGGGTCATATCTGTGCCGTTGCTGCTTACCACAACAATAGCAAAAACGAGAAGTACGACAACATCCATAACATTACCAGTAGATACAACAATTACGCTATCATCATTGTTAAGCAGTCAAAATATAACTACATCAACGACAACGACATCTTTAAATAAAAGGAAAAGTATAAATAACAGTCTACAATTCTGGTTTCATCCGTGTAAGACTGTTTCCGCAGTAATTATTGCAGCAAACAGTTACATATTAATTGGTATCGGCGGCTGTCTCATCAACCGATTTTTACCGCCTATTCTAATTGCAGTGTATTATTTTAAGGTTTTATTAAAAAAACCGAATAATCCCACAACGTTACATTCAGTTTCCTTTAAAAGACTGAACGCCATTCTCCCAACTACGATATCCTTTAATTGGTGGAGTTTACTGGTATTTAACCTATCCGCACCAGGTAGCTGTGCTGCTTCAGCTTTAAAACACGCAAATCCCGCCCGAACTACTCCATCGTCATCGCACCCGCAATTAATACTCTGTAATCTGAAAAGTTTAGTTTACAATAGCTGTTCAATAACTACAAGTACATACAGTTTTCGTGCACAAGCGAAACGATATCAGAGGATTTTTGTGTAAAAAATAGAGTCCAAAATTGTAAAAATTCAGTTTTCCTACGATTTCTCCTACTGTATACAACCGCATACAACAAAAATATAAACCATCTTTTGTAATTCACCTACAAATGTAGATATATATATGTATACTATATATTTATATATACACTTACATACATATATATACATATAAATATTATAAAATTGAGTAAAAAGGAACATACAACGCCAAATTTAGTTTACATAACCTTCTTTCAACTTCGAAGGACCAGATCCTATATAGAAGTATAAATATCCTGCAGAGTATCAGAACAAGCTAACGAAGATGTCGAAGTTATCGTTTAGGGCACGCGCCCTAGATCCCTCCAAACAAATGCCTATTTTTTTGGCTGAAGAGTTACCCGATTTGCCGGAGTATTCAGCCATCAATAGAGCAGTCCCACAAATGCCAAGTGGTATGGAAAAAGAGGAGGAATCGGTAAGTATAATTGTAATGAATATGTTTAAATCTTCTGAAGATCATTTTTCTGAATTATTTATCGTTACATTTCATAGGAAGGATTGCAATCGCTTTTGCATCTTGTTAGCTAAAATTTTCACTAAAATCGTATGAGTAGTTTCGTAACAATAATGAAAGTAAATAAAGCGATGAAGTGGAGTCTTAATACGATTTACTTAGGCTTAGGAAAAAGATCGCAAAAGCGTTCGGCGAAATTGTGTCGTTTAATTAAGAAAGATTCTTTCCCATCTGATGTAGAATTAGTGTTGCTTTTATCTTAAGTGTCCTAACTCATATAAACAGCGCCAATACAGCATAGCGGTGTTTAAAAGGTCTAAAGATGGGTACGCAATAATTACTTATGAGATTTATATTTATTCTATATATGTATAGTCGGAATGTTCGGAAGATGTGATTAAATTAATTGTTAATACAAATAGGAGTTTCACTATCAAGAAAAACCGTTACTAACTTGGCGACAACAAAAAATCTGCTTAGAGAGCAGGCTTAGCAGAAGAAGCTATTTCGGAGTAACGTATTATATGACATAAAGACAAAAATGAACACTGCTTACGGCAATTGTTGTTGTTTCTGCTACCTTTTTATAGAATTAAGAGCTAGTACTACTCTTAATTACTCTTCCTATCTCCAAATTGTCTAAATATATTCTATGCTATAGAGAGTGGTATTTACACGAACACTGTGCTTGTAATTGCGGGGATCGCGAAAAGCGGAAAAACCATGCGTTGATCCAAATCAGCTTTTAAAACCGACTTTTAGCAAAATAGTTGGGAGATCAACGAAGTCTAGTGCATTATTTACCGCAAAACGAATGAAACTGCTAGTGCTGAGAATCATAGATAATCGTTTCTATTTCTATTGTAACAAAGCGATCAGAATGGTGGCCTACAAAGTTCTCATCAGTGCCGCCAGACTCCCTTCTTCTTAAGTTATTTCTTATTTCGACCGATGAGTGACGTACTTAATTTCCGAAGAAAAGAAAGAATTGAAGAAATGGAAGAAATGTAAAAAGAGAACTTCCGTTCAACGTAGTTTTCATATAAGTAAAACAGCTCGAAATGGGAAAGCATAGCTGTTTTCATATAATCTATGGGAGAATTCTTAAACTGCGAGCTGCAAATTTTACGAAGAGGTTAAGCAATACAATCGATATTTGATAAGTTCGCATAATCATAAATAGCTATTTACAGTCAAGATGTAACTTGATTACTAACTGCCAGTGTCCATTTAAAAAAATTTTTTTTTTTTTTTTACATATTATAGCATAAACGCATGCGGGGAATTAGTTGATCTAGCTCAGTAACTTAGCAGTGAAGCTTGATAGGAAATAAATACTTTCGCGTCAACGTCATACTGTAACTGGTTACTAGTTAAGAATTTCTTTTCATTTTGTTTGCTTTTATTTGCTAACAATTGATTGTTCGATAACACTAACATGTTAGCAGACATGTAGTGATCCTGTAATGATAAGAATTCTTTAAAGTGATCCTCAATATATATTTCATTCTATGATTTATTTTTAAGAAGAAAATTTTGTATACAAAATAATTTGTAATGCAATATTATTTAATTACACAAAATTCTAAATATTTATCTCAAAATTTTATTTTAGGAACATCATTTACAACGAGCCATATGCACTGGTCTCATTATACCTACACCAGAAGTTTATTCCACCGAAGCTGAATTTTACGATAAGAGTTATCCACCAAATTTTCGTATGCCACGACAATTAATACACATGCAACGTAAGTTTCATATTTAGTGTGTGATATATTCGAAAATTATAATTAAGATATTGTTTTAGCTCTTGGCTTGGAACAAGATGTACCCGAATATGATATGGATAGCGATGATGAGCTATGGATAGATCTCCAAAGGAAACGTCTCGATTTAACGCCGTTGAAATTCGAACAAATGATGGATCGTTTAGAGAAAAGTTCCGGTCAGACAGTGGTTACGCTAAATGAGGCCAAAGCTCTGCTTAAGCAAGATGATGAGGTCAGCATAGCAGTATACGATTACTGGTTAAATAAACGTCTGAAAATGGTAATAACCAATAATGAAGAGCAAAGTGTATTTTTACGATTACCTTATTTTTTAATTAACTTTCAACAATAACAACAAACAGAAAAATCCTTTAATACTTACGGTTAAAACAGAAAATCGACCTGGCACCTCATCAAATAACCCATATTTGGCATTTCGTAGGCGCACAGAAAAAATGCAAACCCGAAAAAATCGTAAGAATGACGAGACCTCATATGAAAAGATGTTGAAACTAAGGTAAACTAAAAGTAGGTTATCGACATTAGTTACCGCTTTGCTATTGTTTCTTGCAGGCGTGACTTACAGCGTGCCACTACGGTTTTAGAGATGGTAAAGCGTCGTGAAAAAACTAAACGCGAACAGTTGCATTTGTCCATTGAAATCTTTGAGAAGCGTGTTCAGCTCAAGGACTTTAGCGGAGCATTGCTTTCTGAGCTCAGTGCTACACTTAAAAATACGAGGTAATATATTTAATTATAACTACCATAATTGCCATAAATAAATTCTATTAACAAATCTCCACTTTTAATGCAGACCCGCTTTTGCTCCGTTATACGCGAACCAATACTCACATCACCACCACTCTTCGTCTTCGGGAGGAACACCAACAGCTGTAGTGCCAGGAGCGTCTTCGTCGGCGGCGGGTTTATGTAATGTAATGGGTTCGAGCGGTGGCTTACTGACGTCAGTTAGCAACGTTTCAGCTGGCGGCGGCGCGAGTCATTTGTATTCATCAGCATCGCAGTACCTGAATTCCGCGAATATAGCTATGGGTACGTGTTTATAGAACAAAAGGAATATGCAATTAGAAAGTGAATTAAGTTTTTCTTTTATATATTTGATAGATGCATTAAATACGGGTAGTCGCAAGGAGAAGCGTCAATATAAAAAGCGTAAACATAAAATACCCCGCGATAAACAACAGTTACAGCAGCAACAACAGTATTTAGCAGGCATTGGTGTGATGCCAGCGTCAGCGTCATCAACAGCAGGCGGTCTAGTTGGGTCGACTTCTATGACTGGCAGTGCGGTTCATCATGGCCATCATCATCATTTGCCCCATCATTTACATCCCCTGCATCGACAAAGCTCCTCGCCAGCTCCCAATGAGTCGAATATCGAAACGGAAGAGGAAGACCTAGCGCACAAAGTTGGCTCGGAGAGCGAAGAAGAGGCTCCATTTGCATTTAGAAGAAAACAAGGCTGCGATTATTTGAGGGTAAAACTCTATCCCTCTTTTTTCGCCTTTTTCCCGCTTGTTTATTATATTTTAAAAAAATTTATGCATATTTTAGACGAGGACTCGTACGGGCAATTGGCCCTGGGAGCCCAAAGAAGAGGACGGATATGGCGATAATAAGTATCGTTTTACGCTCACGTCCATAAGACACCCAAGGTTAGTAAGGAAACAAACTTCTGAAGACAAAAAAAAATGCTTTCAAGTATTGTGTTGCTCTCTCTATCTCTCAACTATTCCGAACATAGAGCTCGTTGTATTGGTTTTGCCCGCCGTCGTTTAGGACGTGGCGGTCGTGTTTTATTAGATCGCGTGGCTACAAATTTTGACGATTTCTGGTCACAACTTGATTACACGATACTCGAAACGCCGCATACACTTAACGAAAACGCTAATAAAGCAGCCTTAAAGAAACCTGCTTCACCACCGACCGTTGTTGATTTACCCCGCAACGCCTTTGCGACGGGCGTGGGTTCGTTGCTTAATTCTAGTTCTGTCACACCCGCCATTGAAATTAAGAAAGAGGTTAACGAGGTCGGCGTAATAGATAATACGAATAATCGTAAGCAAACGCAAAGAAGCATTGATTACGCATATTTCTCTGAAAATAAAATTGAGCGGAAATATGAAGAACGCAATGAAATGGAGACTGATCAATATGATGGCTTCCAAATATCTAGAGATACTCAGTATCAATCATATTTGTCTGTAAGTCAAGCAGAACCGGGGCAGAACCGAAAACTGCCATCACCAGCATTTGAGCCCGACGGCAAAGAGAAGCAACAAACAGTAATGAAGTTGATGCAGCGTAGGCTGCTACTGAAACTGTCAAAATCATTGAACGTCGACTTAAATAGTACTAGTGATAAAGATAGCATCAAAACATCAGTGGTGTGTCCAAATAATACAATATCATGTCAGTCGCAGTCCCATAATGAAATCAAACAAGAGAATATTAACAGCGACAAAGGAGATAATGTGGAACAGCATACATCGCTAAACGCAATTAGCCACCGAATTAATAACACATTGGTTACTTTAGTTGGCGAGGTTCACGTTAACAGTATAAATCACAACCACATTGGTAGCAGCAGCATCAACACTAGTAATAATTTTAACAACCGAACTCTTAGTTGTAGTGGTAGAATTAGTAATCTAAGCGATAAATACAATGTGATAAAAACGGAAGCGTCACCGTCGTTGGAAGCGACGATGGCCTCCTCTGTTCAACTACTGGATCCTTCAGAACGTAAATTTATAAAGCAAGAGCAGATTGACTTGACTGTCAGCTTAGCTTCAGCGGATGATTCCAATGAGCCCTTGAGTAGCATTCAGAAAATGACCTGCGGATCCACCTCTTCGCATACAGACATTATGGAGGATGAAGAAAATGTCAACCTGGCTCAGCTTAGTAATCTGATAAAGCATACAGTCAAAAAAGAAATCTCAGAAGAAGGACAGTATCCTTCAAGTCCAAACGTGGAATCAATATATAAATCTAAACAAACCTTACGAGAAAATGATTTGCTAGCAACCTTTAAAGAAATTGATGAAGAGGATGGGGTCTGCAGTCTAAATCAAATGCCTGACGTTGTACGTGTTGAAAATATGAAACGCCCGAGAGTGAGAAAAGTCCGCACCAATTCAGCCGTTGGTTTGAATGGCGTAAATCTTTTAATTGAAGAAGTTGCTGCGGTTAATAATAATTCCGATCAAGAGGAGGAAATGGCTATGATGGGCAGTCTTTCACCAAGCTCAAGTCAAAGGTTAGATGTGTGCAATGAGCTGTTGTCGGAAATTCGCCGCGATTGGGTGCATTTTCGTCCTAAAACGCCAACAGAAACGGAAAAGCAGGACGCTTGCTCATTAGATTTAGAGGCGAAAATAGAGGCGCGTGTACCTCTCGTCAGTTGGTCGCAACAAAGCCCTATAGCGATTGAAATGCTAAGAGAACCTCTGGAATGCAGGACACACAAGGAAGACGACGAAAAGTCAATATGGAAAGCGGGAGCAGACAAAGATTCGCTGTTCATTACTTCGTCATTTAAATACGATGACTTGGAGCCGGACGCGCAACTTTTGCCGCAAGCTTACTTAGCTGACTTTGCAAGGAGCGATAGCAAGAGTCCCGAAGTCCAGAGTCATCAAACTAACGCTTGTCTGGATTTTAATCTCAGCGGCGATAGTCTAAATGATATTAATCTGTTAGGTGATGGCGACGATGCGGATATGCTAGACAATATATTGCAAGAGGTTCAGATAGATGATATAAAAACTCTTAATCAAGCGACTAACTTTTGGAATGGTATTTTGGACGGCGAAGCTGTAGACGCGGAAGTAGTTGGCGATGTAGAAACGGCTGCCGGCTTGTTGGACGGTATTGATGAAGCGAAGAAAACTGGTGATAAATCGTCAAGTGGGGGAAAACGCTGCCAGCACAATAAAGGAAAAGCTGGTAAACGTTCTTGTGCGCTATTAATGCCGGTGGGGTGTTCAAGTTTCACTACTACTGCATTAAACAACGAAAGTTTACGTGATGATTGTTTCTTCCACAAAGAGCAAACCAAAACGAAAGCACCTGCCATTGATGACGTTATTCCTGAAGAAATTGTGGAGATAAAACCAGAGCCCAAGGAGGTTAAGGTGGAGGCTGTGGTTGCGAATAGTAACAATTTGCCAACGTTACCACCACTTCTCCCGCCTCCCACTTTAGTACCGCAACCAATGCTTAGGCCAGCTTTGGCTATGACGACAACGACAGCAACTACAATGCCTTCTTCAGCTCCCGTACCCGTCTTAAATATTAATCAGAACAAAGGAAATGAACCAACAATAGAACATCAAACAGGAATTGTTGTACAGCAGCAACAAATAAGGCTGCCGCAGCAACAACAACAGCAACAACAGCAACAACAACAACATCATCATCAATACTTGGGATCACAGCCTGCTATGGCTGCTCCATTGACCATTGCAAGCACCGCTGTAAGTCTGGCAACAACGAATCCCAGTGTCCAGCCAGCACACCAGCAGCAATTTACTACTTCAGCTGCTACTATTCAAGTGTTGCAACAACAGCAGCCTGCTGCCCAGCAAATCCGTAATGTTACTATTCAGCAATTGCATCAATTGCAATTGCAGCAGCAAAGAAAAATACAATTGCAACAGCAGCAACATCAAAAACTTCTTATGCAACGAGACACAAGCGTTTTGGCGCAATACGTGCCTAGTTCAGCTCACAATTCAGCGACGACATCGTCACCTACGTCAACAATGTTACGTCAACCGTCTTTAACGCCCATTGGAACCACAAGTGCAGCCAATAGTGCCACGGCCAGTCAAATGATTTACACTACTACATCGTCAGGCGAAGTTATCGCGGCAGCTGGTTCTCCGAAAATATACCTGCAAAAAGCATCTGCATCGGGGGCGGCGAGCCATAGCCAAGTCAACATCATCAATACCAGCAGTGGGCAATTAACGGTACAGAATATTGCCAATGTTCAGCAATTAACAGCAAGTGGCAGTGGCACAAATACCTCGGCTGGTGGTTCGCTGATTGTTGCTACTGCCACGCGTAATGCAGTACAGCAGTTAGCTCAACAACAGCAACAGCAATTAGTTAATCAACCCATTGTTTGGCGTCAGATCGGTTCTACAAATGTTACTACAGCTCCCGCGGGTATAATGGCAGCAACGGCCAGCACTTCTACTGATGGAAGTGGTAACAAAATAGTCTGGGCCAGTCGTCCAGCTACAAAACGGCACTTGAATGGTCCAGAGAACGCAGGCAAGACAAAAATTACTATAAAATTTTTAATCACATTTAATATCAGTTTTTACCGCTTTTTACGTAGATATCAGCAAATTGCTGTTGAATCGCAAACTTTCGCAACGAAAAATTGTAGCACAACAACAGCAGCAATTGCAAGATGATGATCTAACAGTAAACGTTCTAAGTAGCGGCCCAGAGGCAGTAGCAGCTCCTACAACTACGAATGTTACGTATGCAAGTAATCAACAGCAGCAGCAACCACAACGGCAACATCAATTGCATAAAGTGCAGGGCGGAAAGCTAATCAAGATGCCGTCATTTCCGTTACTGGTATCAGAAGTCAATTTGCAGCAGCAACAACAGCAACAGCTGCAGCAAAAGCATAATTCAGCAGCTGCTGCTATAGCGGCAGCAAATCACAACTATAGTCTGCAACCGACGGCCATTATTACATCTCAATCCTCACAGCAGGGCAATAAAATTTATTTAACTAGTAGCAGTAGCAGCAACGTGAATGCAGCCGCACCCACCAATTTTACGATAACTAATGCCAGCGATTTGCATACAGCTGCCCAGAAGCTGCAACAAGGTAACCACTTACCGACTAACGCCACCAATCTTAAGCTTAATTTCGTAACAACAGCGTCCGTTGCTCAGCAACAGCAGCATCAGCAACAGCATCAAACATCGTTAACTGTCGGTCAACAGCTGGTATTAAATAAGTCAAGCATGCAACAACAACAACAACAATTGTTGCAACATCAATTGCTACAGCAATCAGGAAAATTGAAACGCGAACGTATACTAAATATTATAGGAGCCACGCCAGCAAGCAGCATGGACGTCAATAATACAACGGCAACAACGACGGGAGTAGTGGCGGGCAATACAGCAGAAGGCAGCAGTAAGCGTGTATTATATACCAGCTTGCTGAATGTAAAACCTTTGCAGAAGAACAATGCCGGACAAATGCAGGTACAAATTGGGCCGCAAGGCATGGCTCATGCCTTACTACGTGGTCGCATTGCCAATAATCAAGCGATTTTTACAAATATGCGTACACTGCCTATAGCGGTAAGTACGGGTGGTTCAGCTGTCGTCAATAGTACACCTTCAGTATCGGCAAATAATATACAAGTACTTAGCGGGAGTGGTAGTAGCAATAATATAAGCAACAATTGCACTAGCAGTGGCGGAGTCGTTAATAACTCCAGCCACACCCTGTCTAGTGAAAACAGTGCAAACAACCAAGACATGTTAATGAATAATAATTCCGCTACAGTTGCCAGCTCTGCCTCAGTTCTAAATACAGTTGGCGGGGTGGGAGGCAAGGATGTGAAAAGTGTTGTCGTTGAGTTGACAGCGAGCGGTAATGCTAATAACGGTCCATGCATGGCAAATAATAATAGTAATGCGGCAAATGGCAACAATATACTAACGTCCTCGTCCTCGTCCTCTATATCAATAACAAACAGCAATAGCAATGGTAACAGCAGTAATTCTAGTAATAGCAATGCAACGGCGTCCATGCTTGCAACCAACAATACAACAATCAATAGGTGAGACGAGGCCAGGTAACTACCATTAAAAAATGAAGTTAAACAAGAAGAGCAGCAACAAATTATGGTATTAGTGGTTAAATTACTAATTGCTGATCAAGTTGCAAAGGCTTATCAAGCTTTACTCAATTTTGTACCAATCCTAGCGACAAAACAACAAGCGAGGAGAAACAGAGAAGCCGAAGAAGAACACTATGCCACCATAAATAGTTCGAAATTCCTTCTTCGCTATAGCAAATTAACACCAAAAACAATAATAATTCAAATCAAGCTAAACAGCTGTTATTGCTACAAGAACATTTAGCGACACGTTGCCTCCAGTTCAGCAAGCCCGATACGTAACGCTTTTAAGGCTCAAAAAAAAGAAAAGAAAAAAAAAAGTTTTTTTTTTTTTTTTATTTTTTTGCTAAAACGTCCATACGACGACAATAATATGATGACATAAAAAAAAAAAAAAAAAAAAAAAAAAAGTGAATAAAAAAAAAAACCGAGTTTGCTAATTAATACCATTCCATACAATGATTAAAGAGAAAAAGGCCAGCAAAAGATATAATAAACAGGAAATATTGGCCGTTTCTTAGCATGATGTGCATATACCGGCAATTCGTTTGGCTAAGAGTCAAATATGTTTTATTTGACGTTTTTATTTGACAGAAAAGAAAAGAGCCGAAGAAAAGGAACGAAAATTAAAATTAGAAAATAAACTCCTTTGTAAATTTTATTGCAATTTGTACGCTTTTCGTTTAATATTAAAAAAAAAAAAAAAAAAATATTATTTAATTTATATCATTGTCTAGAAAACAAAATGAGAAAAAAAAAAAAAGAAAAACTAATCAAACATTAAGATATAAAAAAAACCACAACAACAAATAATATAGTTCTTATGAGACAAAATATGTGTTAGCCTCTAGCTACTATCTATGTATAATATAGAATATAAAATGTAGAATATTTTTTCTTCCACAGTATATTATTTTTTTCCAATCAAATTACGCAGGCATGAAACTGAAGGGAAACAGAGAGGGAAAGAAGAATACAACAAAAACAAAAAAAAAAAAAAATACATGAGAAGATGATCGATTTGTAAAATTCGAAAAACGTCGACGTATTGAGAATGAACCACGAAACACTCTTATATTATCCCTCTTTTTACACGGCAAATTATATTAGTTTTTTTTTTTTTTTTTGTTTTTTTAATTGAAGTGAGAAAAATCGAAAAAATACAAATTGGATCTTATTTTCAAGATCGTCAAATAATCTCTAAATAAATGAATGAAATGAGAGCGTGAGAGAAAAGTATAAGAGATGAAAGTGTGTAGTTCAGTTTCTCTTGCTCCCTTTTAAGAGCTGTCTTGTGTACCTTTTTGTAGAAATTCTCTTGAGAACAATGCAACTTTTTTTTCCCCCTAATTTTTGTAAATATTTTCTTGCAGCTAAACGTGAATTGATTTTTCATTTTAGCTCCTAAAATCTATTAATTGTTTGAAAGCATTGTTCAAAGGAGAAGAAAGAAAGAAAGAAAGAGAGAAATTCCACGAAACTTTTTACACTTTTTTTTTTTTTTTGTTTTGTTTTTTGCTTAACATAATAAGTGCATTAAAATATAAACATTTGGCTCTTAAAGGTAGTTCTCTGAAAAGTATTTTTATGTTTGGATTCTTATTTTTCTTTCATTTTTTTTTTTTTTTTCACACGCATTAAAAACAAATTAATTATTTGTAAATGTAATATATAAAGAAAACTATAATTAAATAATTATTATTATTATTTTTATACGAATTGAAAGTATGTTAAAACGAAAAATCCTCAGACTTTGTCCATTAAAAAAAAAGTGTATGTGTTTTTACATAAATCTCCTTTCCTCCCCGCCATTTTTCATCTAAATCACTTTATTGGAAATTTGTAAAGTAAAAATATGATTCATCATAATTATAATAACAAACACTATTAAAAAGAAGAGAAAATAAAAAAAAAAAAAGAAGAAATATTGAGAAAAAGAAATCTATTTAAAATCATTAAGGATTCCCCCTTTTTCCTCTTCCGCTATCCATTAATTTAAATAAATAAAATGTGTAGTAATAAAATACCTTTAGCTTTAGTCTAAAATTTAAATTAAAACAAAAAAAAAAAAAATACTTAAAAAAATCTATGAAAACAAAACAAATACAAAAAACTGCGATAAAAAACTGATAAGTTTTTGTTGTTATTTTTTGATTTTTCTTATTCTTATTTTTTTTTTATTTTTATTTTTATTTTTTTTTAGATTATTATTGAAATTCGATTTATATTTTTTTCCATATCATTGGTCGTCTATAATGAAAAGGAAGTTTTTGTTTTTTGCGAACTTAGCCAGTCTGCAACGCCCAGGTTAGAGATAAAACTAAGGCCCTCAGTTCACTCTATTCAATCCATACACCGACTACGCCTTTATTAAGGGGAAAAGAAATTCAAGGATTCAAACATTAGACCAGAAGTTTGATTCCTTGATTATGTTTTGGAGAAGGCAATGCGTTTGCCTATTCAATATACAACAATTTTGCTATTCCGTAGGTATATAATGGCAATAAGACGCTACAATATCTGTTTGTTGTGTTTGAACAGGCACGTTAAGCCATGAGATCTATAATAACCTCCTCTTCCTTCTTCTTAATGCGCTTATCAGAAAGCATTTAAAAAAAAACCTTCATTTGTATTGGATCGCCTTGGTTCTTATTGTGATAAATTTTTCTCATCAGCTCATTAATATCATATCGACTTGTAAGGCTGCAGAAGATGATTCAAATATTCAGTGCAAATTTGCTTTCAATTTTGCGAATTCCTAAAGTCGGACGGACATGACTACATCGAATCAGAAGCCGTTGGGATCCGTTAAGGCGTAAGTTTGGATTTTGCGCAAGGAATGAGAAAACAAATCAAATGCAAAAAATTCCTGTCGCATATTAGTTTGTAGGCAACTGAGACTGCTGCGCATGCTGAGGTAACACGTCCGTATTGCAATTTCAACTTTTTTTTTTTTTTGTTTTTTGAAAATATGTTCGAAAGCAAACACCTACAAAGACAGTGTATATTAATTATAAAATGAATTGTAATTTTTAATTGAAAATATTAATAGACAGCAGACTATGTTGAGTTTGTAACAATAATGGAATTATAACCGGCCTTAAGTGCCGGTCCTATCGCATTTTGCTTTCATGTCTATCTCCCAGAGGTGAGGGGATAAGTTAATTTCATTCCTTGTGATTGATTGGCTCTTAAGAGTGGCGGCAGCGAAGCCTTAAACACATTCTTGAGAGGAACTCAAGCTAATTTGAAATAAAATCACCATCATAGAGTTATTAGCCGATTACCATAACCTCACATCTGTAAATAACATTAAATATTAAATTTTTGATCTTTGATTTAACCCCTTGAGCTTTATTAGAGACTTCTTTCTATCTTATATTAATTTAATTTTTTTTTTTTTTTTTTTTTTGAAAATTCATAATTGTTAAGAAATTTATTCGAATCATATTTAACTTTTTTAAAATGGAAATGTTTGTTTTACTAAAGATATGTCGGTTTGGTAATCTTTTTAGCAAAAAGAGCGAAAGTTAGAAAAGTATTTTAAATTAATGTGTATAATGTGTAAATGGATGTACATATGTATATGTGCAATTAAGCAAAAAAAAAAAAAAAAAAAAATAGTGTCTCTTAAAAAAAATTTATACAACGAAACTTCATTTTTTTTTTTTTTTTTTTTTTTAATTTCATAAAATTCTTTTCTAGATTTTGCTTACTTATCGTCATGTTTCGTTTTATAAAAAAAATTTTTTTTTAAATTTTATTTTTTCATTATTTTCGTGTTTGTTGTATACTTTCGATTGTGTTTTGAGTGAAAAACGAGAAGAAGAAGAAGAAGAAGAAGGAAAAAATAAAGGAGCAAGTAACAATTTTATAATTGTAATATATATATAAAACTATATAAAAAAGAAAACATGCGAACACGCGCATACATATATACACGCACACATACACACATACACACACACACATTTGAATGTTAGTTTGTTAGTTACATATGTAAGAACTCAAATAAATTTTACGCTTATAGAATAAACGTTAATCATTATTAATTACGATAATAACAAGAGTATAACAAACAAAAAAACACACATTTATCTTACGCTAAACTCTTTGATCTTCGAATTATACAAGCATGAAAACAAAGATATGTTTAGTCTTTAAGTTTTTTATATTCACAAATTGGGATGGATGGGGAATAGAGTTTCAAGATATATATATATACATATATATATTTCGATCATTATCGCCTTTTTAACGCTTAAGAGAGAAAGAGAGAGAGACAGAAGACAGAGAGATGATAATGAAGTCAATAACAAATGACGACTATGTTCTTTATTTTCTTCCAAATCTCTATAGTTGTCTCTTCCGAGAATAGGGAGAGAAAACTGAAACGCTACCTACATAGGGGGACGTGATGAAGTCAACATATTCTGATTGAGTATATGATTTTAAAATAATGCGTCCATGTTCTTCTTCTCTTCTGAATGTCTATATGTGCATCGCTCAAGAATAGGGAATAGGGAAAGCTATATGTACACTCACACTATAGTTCATGGTCGCATATATCTGGCTTTGCGAAAAAGACATTTTATAAATTCTTTGTAACGCATCATTTTCTGTGTAGTCTAACCATTGACCACAACTACTGAGGGATGAGTATGCTTAGTAAATTAATTCATTATTTAATTATTTATTTTCTTTATATGATTCATCAAGGATTCTGTTGTAAATACCTCCAGTTTAATGCTATTTGTTACCAATCACGGTCTGTCCATCATTACTATTATTTATAAGCTAAATTTATGGCAACTACGATTTTTTTCGAACTTGCTCTCAAAGATTAACAAATAGTTTCGCCTTAAAAAAAAGTCTCAAGGTCCGAGCATGTTAATGGAATATATTAATCGCTTCCTTGCCGGCTGTTTATTTTACTTATACCCTACATCACTTGTGGTATACGGTATATTAAGCCAGTGCGGACGTATGCAACACGCGGAAGGGCTTGAGATAGACCCATTTTTTATTATATTAATCTATTCACAATTATAATCTGAATTGATGTAAGCCTATCTGTCCGTCTGTCCACCTGATGTGCTTTCATGTAAATTTGTGTTCAAGCTACAGGTCGCAATTTTTGAAATGTTTTGATGAAATTTGGTACAGTGACGGGTTTTGACCCAAAAAAGAACGCTATAGAAAATTGTAAAAACTCGAAAAAAAATTGCAATTTTCAAAATTTCGTGGCAAAAATGTCTACGCAAAAGTACTACGGCATTCTAAATTGATATGAAAACTTTGGACCGGCTGGGACAATTTTTGAACTCCCACTCATATATGAAGTTCGTACGAGCAAAAGGTATAATTTTCAATACTTTATAATGAAAATCAGATCATAATAGTAATTCAA